ATTTTCTATTAGTCTATTAAGGTTCGTAATCGTTAAACAATATTTGTAACCATTATTCTGTATAATTTGTATTCTTGCTTATTTATTTAGTGTTTTGACAATGTTTTATTTTTTATTTCTAAATAACAAAATTTTAATATTTTAGGAAGCGGGTACCCGGAACCGGAACTGGTTCCCGGCGGTTCCGGTTCCGGTTCCAAAAATTTAAGAACCGCTCTAACCGGTTCCGGTTCCAATATCTCAAGAACCGCCAGTTCCGGTTCCGGTTCTGGTTCTTGCCAAAAAAGACGGGTACCCGCCTATGCCCGCACCTACTAAAATATACATTGAATCTGAATCCCACAGTTTCCGAGTTTACAAGTATCTTGTACTTGTAATGCTTGTTTTGGAAGATTCCCCATCCCACTCCGTCTTCAATCCCTTCTCATCCCCAATCGATCAATCACAACCCACATATCAAAATCCCCCAATTTCATAACTTTATCAAGATTTCTTCCAATTTCAAAACCCTTTCAAGAATTTACCCAAATTGTTCTTATTTCTGATAAAAGAATTCGACGCAAATGGGATTAGATTCGTTGAAACCCTCGCCGGTGCCGATCGCCGACGAACTCCCACCGAATCAATCCACTTCGCTTCTCTCTTCCGCCACCACGACCGCCGCCGCCGCCACAAAACCCTCCGCCACCACCGTACTCATCTTCTCCCTCCTCCTCACCACCTGCATCGCGCTCTCAGCCGCGTTCGCCTTCGCCTTCCTCTTCTTCTCCTCCGCCGCCGTGAAACCCTCTAACCTCCACCACTCCTCCACCGCTCTTCAAATCGCACGGCCACTCGCGAAACTCACTCATCCCGTCGTGATCTTGATTTCATCAGATGGGTTCCGATTTGGGTACCAATTCAAAACCCCAACACCCAACATTCATCGACTGATCAACAATGGAACCGAAGCTGAAACCGGATTGATCTCCGTTTTTCCGACGTTGACTTTCCCAAATCATTACTCCATTGTCACCGGACTATACCCAGCTTACCATGGAATCATAAACAACAAATTCGTTGATCCAATTACTGGCGACGCTTTCACCATGAGCAGCCATGAACCCAAATGGTGGTTAGGCGAACCCATTTGGGAAACCATCGCGAACCACGGTCTCAAAGCGGCTACATATTTCTGGCCTGGGTCCGAAGTCAAAAAGGGTTCTTGGGATTGCCCTGAACACTTCTGTGCACATTATAACGAATCGGTTCCGTTTGAAGAACGTGTCGATACCGTCTTGAATTACTTCGATTTGCCAAATGACGAAATCCCGGTTTTCATGACATTATACTTTGAAGACCCAGATCATCAAGGTCATATAGTTGGCCCTGATGATCCTCAAATCACTGAAGCTGTTGGAAACATTGATGGGTTGATTGGAAGATTGATCAAAGGTTTGGAAAACCGCGGGGTTTTCGAAGATGTTACGATAATTATGGTGGGTGATCACGGAATGGTTGGTACTTGTGATCAAAAACTGATCATTTTAGATGATTTAGCTTCTTGGATCAAGATTCCGGCGGAATGGGTCCAATCCCTTACTCCGGTTCTTTCGATTCGTCCGCCTTCGGATCAATCGGTTTCCGAAATCGTGGCGAAGATGAACGAAGGTTTGAGGTCGGGGAAGGTCAAGAATGGCGATAAATTGAAAGTTTACCGTAAAGAAGATCTTCCCGAAAGACTACATTATTCGGGAAGCGATAGGATCCCTCCGATCATCGGGTTACTCGAAGAAGGGTTTAAGATCGAGCAGACGGTGTCGAACAAAGCCGAATGCGGCGGAGCCCACGGGTACGATAACGCGTTTTTCTCGATGAGAACGATATTTATCGGCCATGGACCTCAGTTCGCTAGAGGTAGAAAGGTACCATCGTTTGAGAATGTTCAAATCTACAACTTGATTACATCAATTCTTGACATAAATGGAGCTACCAACAATGGTTCGTCATCGTTTGCAAAAACTATGCTTTTGCCTCATCATCATTGACTTCATTTTCATGTTGGAGTTTATGCATTTTCTTGATCTAGAGGCAATGGTGTTTGGTTCTTCTTAGTTGAGGTTAATAAACCCTAAACCCTAAACCTTAAACCCTAAAGTGATCCCTTAATTTGTGTTGGAAGCATGAATGAACGAGACTTTTTATGTAAGTTAGTATGATTATTTGAGTTTGTTTAAATTGTCTATTTTATCCGTTAAAAGATTTTAGTGTTGAATTTATATAATCTCATATATATATATACATATTCATTATTATTACGAAATTTACATCTAAATCATATTATTAACATTTACTTAAACGAAAGTCAGGAAAAGTATTTAACACATTTAAATACTATTAGAATACATAATGTGTGAGATGTGAGGATTGATTTGGTAAGAATTGATTGAGTAGTTATCGATTAAGGTTAATTGATTGAGAAACACGGTTGTTGAGAGTTTGAAGAACAATAAGAGGCAAATAAGAGGTTGATTTACTTCTTACCAAATAAGAGGACAATAAAACATGAGTGCCATCTGAAAATTTATAAAAAACAAATACAAGGCTTTGAGCTTTTTTAGTTGTTAGGCATCATTTATTTATAAATTATAAAGTTATAAACCACTATTTATCGTGTAAAAAGGGAGATTTGAATCATTTATCATTTTTAATTCCATGTACATTCATGAATTGTATTTTAAAAAAGAATTGATCTAGTGCATCTCGATGCATTTTATTAGTGTTGATATTCAATTAGAATTGACCCAAAAGGTAAAAATCTCGTGTTACGTTTCTCAGCATAATTTTCCTTCTCATCGGAACCCAACCGTATAAATATTTTTCACAAAATCATCATTAATATGTTGGCTAAATTTAATGTTTTTGTCTATTTGAGGATCAGTGTCCAAGTATTTTATCCTAAGTTTTTGTAGAAACATAATAAAAATTTGGAATTAAAAAAACAAAAATTAAGAAATTAATACAAATGGGAATTCAAACCAATTCCCCTAAGAGAAACCTGTGTTGTTATTGTATTTCAAGTAATCTATGAATGCATCCAACAAAATTATATGGTGACATGGCATAGTGGTAAACGCTTGGGCATGACATAGTCATGAACCCGAGTTCGAGTCCTGGGAGGGGAGTGTTGGCGACATTTAAGTGAGGCCATGTTTAGCCTCTAAATTTGCCGGAGATTAGTCGAGCTTTGGCCCGGACACCCTTACAACAAAAAAAAATTATACGGTGACACATTTCACGACCCTAAATGTCCTTACACTACAACGAGAGAACGAAACAGTGCCTTGTGCCACCGTATACGTCATAGTAGGTCGGTCCCTGCATAACAGTCATTGAAAAATACAAACCAATCAATAAAAACCGACTTGCCTAATTGGCAAAAAAAAAAAAAAAACCGGGAATGCCAACAGAATTATGCTATAATTTTTCTATAATAAAGTATGAAAATCAAAATATTTAAAAAAAATCATTAAACTCCAACAATTACTTTATTTTAACAATTATAACATTAACCATATTAATAAAATATTAAATACATCTAATATAATATTTTATGTCTGTCCTACACATTTAATTTCGGTAATTTTTATTGGTGGAAAATAATTAAAATAGTATTTTTTTTCTTCTATAGAGTTTTAGAGATTTATCTAAATTTAGAGATTTTTACGTTATCTCTATTCTTTTCTCTATTTTAACATATCATTTAACACAACTATAAAAAGTTCCTATTTCAAAATATATATATCTTAACGTAGTTGCTGGAGATACTCTTATTTGATTCAGGGACTGTTCGGTTCGTTTTCTATTACTGAAATAAATATTGATAAATTGAAACAACATGAAAGGAAATCGAAATTTAAGGTCAGGTTTAGCAGGTCGTACTGTCTGTCCATGAACAGTTCAGGTATACCCTAAAAATAAACTTTCAAAATATTAAATACAATAATAATAAAATAACCTTCTAAAATATTAAAGAAAAATAAAAATATATTTTCAAAATATTAAAAGAGGAAAAATTGAAAATGAAATTGTTGAGAGTGGGATTTGAACCCACGCCCTTTCGGACCAGAACCTTAATCTGGCGCCTTAGACCAACTCGGCCATCTCAACCGATGTTCTTTTCAATAATATTTTCCTTTTAAATTCCTTCGATATAAACCCATTGCTACCATCCTCCTACTAATCGGTGTGCAAATTGAGCGAGCTCCGGACAGCAAGGCAACCCAATCGGATTTGACGGTTTCTCCATCTCGTCGCCGGTTAGTCTCTCATCTTTTCCTCGATTTTCATGTTATAATATACTAAACTGGGAAAACATAATTTTGAGTGTAATAATCTGTTGAATTTTTTCACGATAATTCCGTGTGTGGATACTCAAAACATAATTTTTGAGTGTAATAATCATTTTGCAGAAATCAATTTCTTTTACTGGAATTTGTTGGAGTGGATTTTGCCCCATTTTTGTTTTGTTCTTCCTGCTGATTGTCATCTATGCCAACCACCTGTTTGTATAAATTCCTCATCGAGTTTTGGCTGTTTTTCCAGTCTCTCATTCAAGATGTTGAATACCAACATTATAATTCATTAACCCAATTTAAAAAAAGCGTTACATTTTGATGTCCACTGATTTGATTTCCAACTGCAATTTCATTTAATGCCTTTCTTGAACGAATATGATTGGAGATCCCCACTAAGATTTTGTATGTTTGGTTGTTGGATCTTTGATTTTGGCACCAAGATGAGATTTTGAAGTTCTGTTGCTTTAACACAAAGGAAAAATGTAATTGGAACCCATGAATTGAAGAACATAACATAGTGAAAATAGAACACAAATGTACCTTAAATTCTATCATAATATTGTTTTTTACACATGTTTTGCAGCATCGTTTAGTCGTATTCAAGATCCTCTCGGAATCTTTTTCTAGATTTCAAGAAAGTTACCATAATGTACAGTGAAAGATGGGTCTATAAATCAGGAATGATCGTATTAAATAAAATGAAAACGTAAAAAAAAAGTAGTTAGCTTTATGTTTGGAGATTTCTAAGACAATCTCCGGTGACCCCTTGAACCCATTCATTAAAACTTTTGACCTCAGCATTCTCGACGTTCGCCTCCTTGAAACAGTCGTTACACGTGTCGACATCTGTTGAAACCGCGCTAATGTCAAAATTGGCCTTGGGTAAATTTGCTTTGTTGATACTTTCAATGCCACTTTTAGCATCACCAATGGCATCACTAATGTTTTCATCACACTGAGTGAGGCACTTTACTGTCGGTTGTGGTGTCTTGGAGTTCGCCAATCGTTTCTTGATTTCTGTGTTGAATGCAACCAGTTTTTGTTCCATTGCTTGCAGTTGTTTGGATGCAACCTTAGCCCCTTCGCTCGGTGTTGCAACCATTGTCTTTTTTACCCCAATAGAAGGCAATAGATTGAAAAGGTGAGAGAGAGCGCTGGGGCTGGTGGAGGGGGTGGCGGCAGCCGGTTTAGGTGAAGGGTTTGGGGTAGGGGAAGACGTTTCTTTAGCATATAACATAGAGAATAAGAGGACAAAAATGGAAATAAGAGTTAAAGTCTGCTTGGTAAGAGCCATTGTCTCTGATATGTGATTATAATASAGACAATGGGGATGAAATATGGGAGATGATGGTTATTTGGGAGGGGTATTTAATACTCCTAAGGATTGGTAATTCATGATTGTAAATAAACTTTCTAAAAATGGAAATTCTATGGTTAATAGTATGAGGTTGAGGATCTCCATATTCGATACCATGAAAAAGGAAATATAAATAAATAGACAAGATTATCCGTAAATTTAGTTTATTTGAATTTATGGTCAATGTTAATTAAATATGAATTTACTATCCCGTCAAGGATGTCCACGCGATAAGACTCGCAGTTGATGGTGTGTCCATCTCGTCACCAATTAGTCTCTCGTTTGTCTTTTGATCTTTATGTTATACTACTAAATATGGAAAACATAATTTTGGTTGTAATTATTTGTTGAATTTTCACAGGAATTCCATAAGTGTGTCTCGTGAATGAAACCCGTTTGCTGGAAATAAATCAACATTTTCCACCCAAATTTGTTGGATTCAACAGATAATTGTAATCAATTATGAAATTGCAGTTGGAGTTTAAGCAGTTAACGTGGACAATTGCAGAACTTGCCGTGGAGACTGGGATTTGAAATTGCGGTTATCACAATGGTAAACCGGTGGTATAGCGGTAAAAGTTTAGGACTGTGGAATCGAGTAGGAATCGAACAGGATTATGGAATCGTTTTGGACTTTGGGATCGATGACCAAAGTGTTGGACTGTGAAACCGTGGGATCGATAAGCCCACACAAAACTAAGAGTTTAAATAGCCCACACAAAACAAAAGCCCACCCATAATGGAACCCGTTTAGATATAAAAAAGGTCCAAAACAGTCTCCGGATGGGTATTTCATTAGTTTTGATAAATGCCTTTTTGTAACCGCTCGCTACTTATTTTCAGCAATCATTTCTATTTAATGGAGAGTTATTCTTGGCATTAATATAGGATCAATTACAATTCTCTAGGTTTAAAAATGTAACAATTTCTGCCAAAATCGGGATGGAGATTTGAGATTATCCTTGAGTTAATTTCGTAATACTCATGCAGATCTCGGTCCAAAGTATAACTCAAGGAATTCGTGTGCTTAGTGGTGCTCAAAAACCCGACCAACCCGATCAACCCAACGCGAAATGACCCAACCCGAAGCAACCCGATGTCTAATCGAGTTGTAAAATTGTCAAACCGTAGGTATTGGGTTGATATTGGGTTACTATTATTTCAACCCAACTCAACCCGATGAACCCGATATCATTTTATTTCTTGGATTTAATATGGTTGTTGAATTTTTATTAGTATATATATTAGACAATTACACTATCATGTATGTTTTTCATATACATATATTTTTAATCTATTCATATCTCTATATAACTCATTCATATATATGTCCAGTAACTGTGAACATATATATGTAAATTGAGAAAATTAACTGAATGTGATACATGTAAAAAAAAGGATAAGTTGTATTAAATGGTTGATGATGAAAAAGAAATTATGAGTAGAGAAATAACATATTCAAGGTTAGAATAATATTTTAATATATAAAAGTATCAACCCGACTAACCCGACCAACCCGACTAACCCGTACGGATTGGGTTGGGTTGCACTTTGGTTTGGGTTGGGTTGGGTTAAGATTTTTCCAAACCGCAAGCATTGGGTTGGGTTGTTCAAATGTCTTCAACCCGATCAACCCAACCCATGAGCACCGCTACGTGTGCTCATACAATCTCATATTATATACAAGATCTTCACTCACTGTTTTCTTACTCTAGACACGAATTTTCCTAACTTGATCTATGTCATCAAGTTGTGTTCTTGATTGTGTGGTCGAGAAACTGAATCTCCCATTGAGAGTTCGTATTTTTTGCTCTATCTGTTGGTTATGGTTCTTTTTCATTTCCTTTCTCTAAATTACTTCTTTTTTGGCTAATCGTGGGTATCCAAGCCAGCTTAATGGGACCAACTAAAGCCTAGGCGACCATAAACAGTCTGGAGTCATCGCAGTGAACCTCCATGAACACAAAAGTTCTAGCAATGTCTGAATTCGAACCTGGGGAAGATGAGATTTCCACTAAATTACGTTGCGGCTTATTCTGTACTCTTTCGTGCAAAAAGTCCCTTCTTCAATGCTTATTTGCCCATAACGATTTTGTTCTCTAATCAACATCAAGACCAAACTGATATTGCTAGATTACCCATTCTTTAATGGTTTTGATAAGCCCGATCTGTTATTTTATCTTTACTTTCTTATAAAGCATTCGGTTAAAAAATTCTTAGATACATAATACTAAGTACCCAGTATTGTTTTTTAATGTATGAATTATTAAAAACCCATAAAGTACAACCATCTTTTTGTATGATAATTGTGGTGTTCGAACTAACTTGCATTAAGCTCATTTAGGGGTTGTTTGCTTGTAACTTAATGAGCTTATGATCTGATAATTGTGGGTGTTCGCTTAGCCATAAAGATTGTTTCTTTACAGCTCAATCATTAAGCCAAACTGGCCATGAAATAGCGAGGGCCCCTCATTTGTCCCCATTAAACCACATCAACCAAATTAATACGAGAAATGCCTTAACAATAATCATAACCACTCTCTTTGCCTTCCTCAAACCCATCTGTCTCTAGTTTCTCAAACAGACATTTATTCAGACCGACAACTTAACCCATTCAGGGCTTAACAGGAAAAAAAAGTAAAGAGACCCCTAATCGTATTAGGCATTAAAAGTACAACCATTTGTTTTGACGTGCTTGGATTTCTATAAATTCTTTTCTTTTCCCTTGAAACGTTTAGTTGTGAATGCTTTTTAAAGATGTGGGACACACCGATAGGACTTAAAGTCATCGGACACAAAGGGAAGTGAGTTTATCGTTTAAATAAACGTATATTCTTAAAACATAAATGTTTTGACGGAATCGTGAGCCCGTTACAGAATTTTTGAATGACAACATTGGAATCAAAATAATATCAAGGATTTTTGTTTGTGTATGTCAACTTTGTGATGGTGATTGCATGTATATCTTACACTTCACATGTGATGGTCTTTTGTTTACAATGTTGAACAGACTTGAGATCATGTGAGACAAAATTGTTTTTGTGACACGATTTTTACAATTGAAACTTCACATCAAAGCATTGTGAAAGTAACCTTCACAGTGTTTTTGCTGTAAAGATTCGTTTTTTTACCACTTCACAAGTATAAAAATCGTGTCTCACGTGAACCCAACCCGTGTTGAACATATTCGAAATAGTCATTCGTCTACAAACACTTTTGACCGTTGAAGTCCAAGCTTAAACCAATCGGGTACCACCCTTGTGGTTATAATTTTTATTTATCGTTTCATGCGTTTAGCTCGGTTGGCAAAAGGGCTACGTGACTTTGTCCAAATATAAAATAGGTTCTGGGTTCGATCCTAGACATTCCGCTGACCTCAGCTGCTAAGTGACTCAAAACATGCTCATCAGATTGGTGTCTTTTAAAGCAGGTTTCAAATGGAGACGGTTTATGTTGACGGTAATCAAGTTTTTGTTCAAGTAATGTTTTATTAAAAATTTATCAAATTATAGATTTGTTTTTACTTTTATATATGGGGGTAAAATAGTCAATTTAATAAGCAAATTAAGAAACCATTATAAATGTTTAAATAAATAAATAAATCAACATGTGAAGCATTGTATGTTATTTTAATATGTTTTACAATAAAATCACAAATGCTATAATTGAAATAGCATACAACAATATTTAATTTAGAGTTAATTACATTTTTGGTCCCTAACATTTACTAGTTTTTATGGTTTTTGTCCCTCCAACTTCATTTGTTACAAATTTGTCTCCGATATTTGTATTTTGTCTCCTCCATTAACAAATTGTTATATTTTTCTGTTAACTCTAATTAAATTGGTGCAAAAAATTCTAAATTATGCGTTGATAAATCAAGAATGATCGTATTAAATAAAAAAAATGTAAAAAAAAAAATAGTTAGACTATTTGGAGATTTCGATAGCAATCTCCGATGACCCCTTGAACCCATTCATCAAAACTTTTGACCTCAGCATCCTCGACGTTCGTCTCCTTGAAACAGTCGTGGCACGTGGCGATATCTCTTGAAACGGCGTTAATGTCAAAATAGGCCTTGGTTATGTTTGCTTTGTCGATGCTTTCGATGCTGGTTCTAGCATCACCAATGGCAGCACTAAAGTTTTCATCACACTTAATGAGGCACTTTCTTGTCGGTTGTGGTGTCTTGGGGTCCGCCAATCGGTACTTGATGTCTACGCTGAATGCAACCAATTTTTGTTCCACTGCTTGCAGTTGTTTGGATGCAACCTTAGCCCCTTTGGTCGGTGTTGCAACCACTGCCTTTTTTACCCCAATAGAAGGCAATAGATTGAAAAGGTGAGAGAGAGCGCTGGGGCTGGCGGCAGCCGGTTTAGGTGAAGGGTTTGGGGTAGGGGAAGACGTTTCTTTAGCATATAACATAGAGAATAAGAGGACAAAAATGGAAATAAGAGTTAAAGTCTGCTTGGTAAGAGCCATTGTCTCTGATATGTGATTATAATACAGACAATGGGGATGAAATATGGGAGATGATGGTTTATTTGGGAGGGGTATTTAATACTCCTAACGGTTGGTAATTCATGATTGTAAATAAACTTTCTAAAAATGGAAATTCTATGGTTAACAGTATGAGGTTAAGGTTCTCTCTATTCGATACCATAAAAACGAAATAAAAATAAATATATAAGATTTTCCGTAAATTTAGTTTATCTGAATTTATGGTCAACGTTAATTAAATGTGAATTTATCCCGTCACGATTGTCCACGCGATAAGACTCGCAGTTGATGGTGTGTCCATCTCGTCACCAATTAGTCTCTCGTTTCTCGTTTGATTTTTATGTTATAATACTAAACAGGGAAAACATAATTTAGATTGTAATTATCTGTTGAGTTTTCACAGAAATACCGTAAGCGTGTCTCGTGAATGAAAACCATTTACTGAAAATAAATCAACATTTTTCACTCAAATTTGTTGGATTCAACAGATAGTTATAATCAATTATGAAATTGCAGTTGGAGTTTAAGCAGTTAACGTGGACGATTGTGGAACTCGCCGTGGAGACTGTGATTTGAAATTACGGTTATCACAATGGTAAACCGGTGGTATACAATCAAAATTCCAACAATTTGGGAGTGAAACAGAAACCCAGAAACCGAAACCGTTACCTGATAGTAAGTGTTAGGGGGCCGTTTATCAAAAATTTACCCGGTAAGTGCTTACTAATAAAATTTAACACTATCATTTACTTACCATGTAAGATTTTAAACCACTAAAAAACATCATATGCAACAATTTACCTGGCAAACGCTTACCATTTACCGGATAAGACTCTTGGTCTTTGTCCGGGTAAGATTCTTGGTCCATATCATATTAATCCAATAAGATAATATGACTTGGTAAACGCTTACCTGAATAATCGTTTGGTAAACGGTTCCTTAGTGTTTAGAAGTAGAAGCAATCAAAGATTATCAAAAGAAGGAATGGATAAAAGCACAATTGAACAGGACTCTGGAATCGAGTAGGAATCGAACAGGACTACGAAATCATTTTGGACTTTAGGATCGATAACTAAAGTTTTGGACTGTGAAACCGTGGGATCAATAAGCCCATACAAAACTAAGAGTCTAAATAACCCACCCATAATGGAACCCGTCTAAATATAAAAAAAGGTCCAAAACAGCCCCAAAAGAAAATTCGGTAATTGCGGGCGCTATTTACAGTATCGCTATAATGTACCGCTATTTTGTGTACCACCGCTAACCGCTATAGCATGCAAATTGCATAGATTGGAGTCCAAAGACGATCGAAGACTAGATGAGAGACCAACAGGTGACGAGATAGAGACACTGATCAAACTCTGACTTTTATCATGAAATCATGTGGAGATATGTGACGGGATGATTTCATATTAGATAACATTGACCGTAAATTCAAATAAAACTAAATTTAAGATATATATTTTTTTTATTGGTGATTTAGGTGGTTTAGTGTGTTCAGCTAGCGGATGAACACATCAGCATTCAACTAGTTGAGGATTTGCCACTGAGGTTCAGCTAGTTGAATGTTTGCCACCGAGGGTCCGCTAGTGTTCATTTAGCTGATGGTTTGCCAGTGATGTTCAACCAGTGTTAAAAAAGGCGTGTCATGGTGTAAGACGCGCCTCTGCCGTTACAAAACGGATCATAGCGTTTCTGTAAGGTGTGACTCACGCCATGGCGTCACGTTTTTTGTAACACGTTATTGTTTCCTTAAAAAAAATATTATTTTTAGTTTTTTGTCTTTTGTGTTTTTACACTTTTAATTTTAGATTTTACATTTTTATAGTTCTAACTAATCACATCACTCACAGTTTCGCAAATTCATAAACGTTACAGACTCACGGTTAAATTAAGTTTTGAAATTACTTTTCTAAGTTTCTATTTTAAATATTTAATTAAAAAACCTATTTTTATAATAATAATCTATATGATTTTTCTTCTTCTAATATAAAAAGTTTTGGTCCCATATTTTGGTTGTGCCATGGGGGGTTCCGAGACCAGAACCTCCCCAGATCGAATTAGAGCTCACTCCGCCTGCCCTCTCGTCCATAACCTAGCCAGAAGCTCTCAAGCGAATCGCTACGCTTCGCTTCTTTCTAGGAGGAAGAGGATAGACTCGTGAACCCGACACACCCACTGCACGATCCTTTGAGCCTCCCATTGCTTCGTACGAGACAGAAAAAAAAAAGAAATCTAAAAAAATCCCGGAATCTAGGAATGAATGGGGATCCGATCTCTACGCATTTCATCGCTCCACCGAAAATTTTGTACATTTTTTAATACCATTATCTGATTAGATAATATATAGAAAACATATATCTACATATGTATGTAATTCTATATATGACATAAAAATTTGTCACCTATTATCACACCTTGAAAAACTCTATGTCGTCGTTGTGGCGTGTAAGGCTTGAAACTTGACCTCGCCGCCACACGCCTTTTTGAACCTTGGTTTCAACTAGTTGATGATGCTTTACCGCTCAGCTAGTTGTTGATGCTCCAGTCTCTCGATGGGTATTTCATTAGTTTTGATAACTGCCTTTTTGTAATTGCTCGCTACTTATTTTCAGCAATCATTTTTCATTTAATGAAAAGTTATTCTTGGCATTAACATAGGATCAGTTACAATTCTCTAGGTTTAAAAAGGTAACAATTTCTGCCAAAATCGGGATGGAGATTTGAGATTACCCTTGAGTTAATTTCGTAAAACTCATGCAGATCTCGGTCTAAAGTATAACTCAAGGAATTCGTGTGCTCATACAATCTCATATTATATCCAAGTTCTTCACTCATTGTTTTCTTACTATACACACGAATTTCCCTAACCCGATCTATGTCATCAAGTTGTGTTCTTCACTGTGTGGCCGAGAAACTGAATCTCCCTTTAAGGTTTCGTATTTTTACCTCTATTTATTGGTTACCGTTCTTTTTCATTTCCTTTCTCTAAGTTACTTCTTTTTTGAGTAATCGTGGGTATCCAAGCCAGCTTAATGGGACCGACTAATGCCTAAGTGACCATAAATGGTCTGAAGTCATCGCAGGTGAACTTCCATGGACACAAGGGTTCTAGTAGTGTCTGGATTCGAACCTGGGGAAGATGGGATTTCCATTAAATTACGTTGCGGCTTATTATGTACTCTTTCGTTCAAAAAGTCCCCCCTTCAATGCTTATTTGTCCATAAAGATTTTGTTTTCTAATCAACGTCAGGACCAAATTTGATATTGCTAGATTACCCATTCTTTAATGGTTTTGATAAGCCTGATTTGTATCCTTACTATCTTATAAAGCATTCTGTTAAACAGTTCTTAAATACATCATATTAAGTATCAAGTATTGTTTTTTAACGTATGAATTATTAAAAACTCACAAGTACAACCATCTTTTTGTATGATAATTATGGGTGTTCGAACTAGCTTGCATTCAACTCATTTAGGGGTTGTTGACTTACAACTTAATGGGCTTAATGGTATTATAATTGTGGGTGTTCGCTTAGCTATATAAGACTGTTTCTTTACGGCTCAATCATTAAGCCAAAATGGCTATGAAATAAGCGAGGGCCCCTCACTTGTCCCCATTAAGCCATATCAACCAAATTAATACGAGAAATGCCTTAAAAATAATCATAATCTCTCTCCTTGCCTTCCTCAAACCCATCGGTCTCTAGTCCCTCAAAAAAGACATTTATTCAAACAGACAACTTAACTCATTCAGGGCTTAATGGGAAAAAAGTAAAGAGACCCCTAATCTTATTAGGCATTAAAAGTACAACCATTTGTTTTGACGTTGCTTGGATTTCTATAAAAAAAAATTCCTTGAAACGTTTAGTTGTGAAGGCTTTTTAAAGATGTGGGACACACCAATAGGACTTAAAGTCATCGGACACGAAGGGAATCAGTGAGTTTATCGTTTAAATAAACGTATATTCCTGAAACATAAATGTTTTGACGGAATCGTGAGCCGATTATGTATGTCAACTTTGTGATGGTGATTGTATTTATATATTACATTTCGCTTGTGATGATGTTTTGTTTACAATGTTGAACAGACTTTGGATCATGTGAGACAATAATGTTTTCGTGAGACACAATTATTACACTTGAAACTTCGCAGCAAAACACTGTGAAGGTAACCTTCACAGTGTTTTTGCTGTGAAGATTCGGCTTTTCTTTTACCTTCAACGCATTTTGTTGTAAAGTTTGAAGTGTAAAAATCGTGTCTCACGAAAACAGCTTTGTCTCACGTGAACCCAACCCATGTTGAACATATTCGAAATAGTCATTCGTCTAACATGTATCTATTAATAAGAGTACCTCTAACAGGTATGCTATATTTCTCTCTTTTCTCTCCTGTTTTTCTCTATCTTAGAGAGGAATTTAGCATAACTGTTGTAGCAAACTTTTCTCAAATCTGAGAAAATTTTAAAATAACATAACTGTTAGAGATTCTTTAAGGGAAAATGATTTTTCACAACCGAATCATAATACTAATTTGCTTATCCACCCTATTCTTACGATCTACATAAGATAAATCCAACTATGTGTTTTTTCTTAACCACAAGAGTGATGTCTGATTGGTTTGAACTTGGGTAAAGATCAAAAAAATGTCTGAAAGTCTCAGGTTCAAATCCAATGAGGATAAAATCTCTTTGTGGCCACAGAGGTTCAAATACGGTGACTTCGGTCTACCTGCAAAACAAGTGGTCGCCCTAAAATTATTCCGCTTACATAACAAATTGGATATCAAGGTTAATAAAAAAAAAAACTATATGTTTTATTTGGTAAAACCTTAAAACATGCTCTTAAAATTGGTGTCTTAAGGGTGGTGCCCAATTGGTTTGAGCTTGAGCTCTAAAGGTCAAAAGTGTCTAAAGGTCTCAGCTTCAAATCCAAGAAGGAATAAAAATCCCTTTATGGTCACGGAGGTTCAAATGCGGTGACTTCGGACCATCCGAGAAGCGGTTGGTCGCCCTGGGATTAGTCGGCTTGCATAGCAGATTGGATATCCAGGTTATCAAATATTCAATATCTTTTAAATTTAAATCAAATCAAATTTTGCTTGATCCTACACCCCTACTCCATTTCTTCTCATCTTTTCAAGATCACAATTATCAAGAGAAATAAAGCATCCATCATGTTCTTTTTTTTGGCAATTCATACCAGAAGTGCTATTTGCACTTTATTTGATGTTAAAAGCACGTCATATCATGTATTGAAAATATAAAAAGAGAATTTCGATGTTAACTACTTAGTGACACATTTACCAAAGGAAATGAGTGTAATTAACCTACCTCAATTCATATTCCCAACAATCAAGATTTCACAGGTGAAACCCGAGTGTTATGATCCTTGCCTTTCGAAAAAGATTTCTTGAACATCGTCTACTGTATTCTTCTTACCCTAAAACTTTCTGCTTCTTCTCGTGTTTTGTTTTAAACGAAAAAGAAAACAAGAAAACGAACTATGGGAACTCAAACGAGATCAAGATTTTAAGAAGCAATGATTATTTGGATAGAGGGTACGTTCTAAGAATGTGTGCACGGAAAACGAAGTATGCAAGGTATTTTTCTTGTCAGTGAAGAAAAGAGATGTTTTTTCATTGCAGTGGAGGGTAGATGAGGAAAAGGGTGTCGGTGATCATGGTAAGCACTGTCCCTCTCTCTTACATACTCATGTCAAATATGCGGTCAATACCAATAAGAACCTCTTATATGGTAAGAGGTGGTATGAGGTAAGTAACAATACCTAATAAAACACTGGGTCGAAGAAAATTTCAGCATTCTTTGTGAGCACCCATTCACCAACTGTTGAAACCTTCTAAATAATATGTATACAGCTAAAGATGCACAAAAATACCCAAGCCTGAAATCCTGCTTGAGCCAGGCCTCAAAGACCAACCAGGCCAAAATTTTGGTCCCGACCTGAAAACCCTAAAAGCTTGGCTTGGGAAAACCGGTATGCGCCTATTTCAACTCCGAAACACAGCTCAACCCATGCCTAAAGAAACCCGGATGTTTTTTTCTCATTGAAAACAAGCTTAGAAGATCCTGATACAAATCCGAAAAAGTCGAGCTTTGTACATATCTATATACAACTCATACCCATATATAAAACACGATTGTTAGTGGAAGGAACAAAAATGCAAACATTAGTCTCAAATTCGTAATTAAATGAAATTTATCGACAAAATTACGAATAATTTAATTTAATTTTTAAATTAATAATAGCATTAGATATCCAATAAAACGAAAAACTTGAGGAACAATTTGAGTCACAAATTTCCAATTGATTTGGATCAAATCAAACACAATGAAAAACTCTAAAATCACATTTTGGTGAAATATATTTCATCATCAACCTCGCCGTATCCTCCTGCCTCACCGGCGCTCCTCCCTTCTCCACCATCACCGCCGCCACTATCCTCTCATATCCGCCACCGCCGGCCACCATATAAGCCACCAACGCCGCCTGTACCGGCATCATGCTCGGATTATACGCTGCAGACTCCATATACGAGCCCTTGTACACTTTCCCTTCACAATCCATCAATGCAACACCAGATGGACAATTACTGTACGGTGCGTGTGATCGACGGGCCGCCTCTAACGCCTCCGTCTTCAAAGCTTCTTCGTTCGTATCAATCAATTCGCAATTTCCGTTTGACAAATTCGGTGTGATTCCGTTTTGGATGATCGATGAATCGTGTTTAAGAGATAATTGATTGTCGTGTTTCTCGAGAATTAGAGGCGTTTCCTGATCTAATAAATCAAAAGGACCAAAAGGATTTGGTAAGATCGATGAAATAGGTTTGTAATCGGGATTTTCTTCAGGTTGATCGGTGATTACGATCTGAGTTTCTGAGATATTCCGGAGTTCTTGTAGGAATTGCCGGCAATGGCCACACGGAGCCGCCGAGACGGCGATGTGCAGTAGCTTAGGGCCACCGCCGTGGGCGGCAAGGTTGGTAATAAGGAACTGTTCAGCGTGGATGGAGTGGTGGAGTGGAAGGCCAGGGAACTCGATGTTGCAGCCGAAAAAGATCCGGCCATCGGAACCTAATCCGACGGCACCGACGGCGAAATTGGAGATCGGTGTACGAGCGAGATCTTGAGCTGATTTAACGAGAGATGGGAGGAGTTGAGGGAGGCTGAGACCTTTAGATCTAGCCATTGATTCAGCCTCTGAAGCTGTGATTATGTATTTCGACGGTGGTTGATTCATCTTGAGTTTCTCCGGTGGCGGTGGGCGGTGCTCCGTTAGTTTGGGAGTGGATGAGAGGGGAGGGGAGTGGAGATAGGATGGAAGAAGGGATATAAATAGGGTAAAGCGGTGTGGTAGATGTGCATGAAGCAGTTGTACTGTACAAGTGGATGATGCATATGAAGATTGATTTGGATCCCAATAATCGTGATTGGTTAGGATACAGATTCCTATATAATATTAATGTTTTCGGTCAAATATATATATATATTTTTTAAATTTATCAAAATAATCATCTCCTTATAATAATTAATGGGCCATTTACTTGTAAAATTTAACACTATTACTTATTTATCGGGTAAGACTTTTGTCTACCAAAATGACATTGTATGCAACAATTTACCCAATAAGCATTTATCATAATAAGTCGTCGCCCTCATTTATCAGGTAAGACTCTTGATCCTTGTCTCGTTCTTACCGGGTAAGATTCTTAGTCCTTACCATATTCATCCGGTAAGGTAATGTGACCTGATAAACACTTACCTGGGTAAACGTTTGGTAAACAGCTCCTTACTTTTTAGCTATTTTTCAATCGAAAATTAAGTTTAGCAAATAGTTTATGTAAATTTCTTACGCATTTAAGTAGTATTGTACATGACTGGACAAAACAAGTGTTTGTCTGGTGTTGGATATGATTAAAACTGGACAAGTTGTTTTTAAAAGTTATTTGATGATTTTTTAAATCATATAATAGTTATATTAATATAAATAAAGTAATTTTACACATTTGGCCTTCACATAGTGCTAGCTCGAAACCCTAGGTTTTTAGATAGATAATAATTCGTAAATATGGACCAAACTCTTAAAAATCATTCTTTATGCATAAAGTATTGTGTATTAATATACATTACTTAAAATTTAAGATTACAAGTAAATTGTATGCAAGTACAACTTATTAAAACTTCATTTTTTTTATTTGTATAATTAACTACATATAAACATAAATAAATACAAAATAAATCTCTCATTTTAAATATAAAAAATCTAAAATATAATTAGGATAATTATTGAGTTCTAACAAAATTATTATCTTTATAAAAAAATATTATCTTTATAAAAAATTGTTAAGCCGGAAAATTAATATCAATATACTTTTAAAAAAATTTATGATGCCTTCAAATTTATTTTTATTCAAAAGTAAAAACATTATCTTTTTCAAAATCACATAAACATTATTATATCAACATAGACGAAAAATAAAATGAAACATTAAAATGAAGATGTATCTCGCAGCATTACGCGAGTACCCTTCTAGTAGTTCTTAGCTCCATCTATTTAAAAGTCTATTAAACCTAAATAAATATTTTATTTTATCTATACTATCTTATAAAAAATTTGGCTAAATCTCTTAAAAACTCTTAAGCCCGTTCATCCCTAAACGATTTCATCTCTATCCGATTTCATCTCATATCTGAATTCGTGTAACTAACTGCAGATAAACACAATCAAATACAGGATAAACATCTCATTTTAAAATATAAAAAATATAAAATATAATTAGTATAATCATTAAATTCTAACAGAATACTTAATTATTATTTTTATAA